TTTTTGATAATATGCTTCCGGAAGAAGTTTAAATGCTTGAGAAAAATCAAGAGATTTGATAAATTATGTTAATACAATGAGAAAATAGGGTCGAAAAGAAATATTTATCGATAAGATTTTGCATAGAATATTGCAATTGATATTTTGAATGAAAATAAGGATTCGAGCCAAAATTTATTAAAGAATATCAACATAAAGATGATTGGCCTAAATGAAAAGAGCAATCTAGGTAGAATTATATTTTCTTATAAAAGAGTAGTTTTGTGAACCCATAGCTAAAACACTTGAAGATGTTAAGCTAGTGGGATACAAATATGTATTTATATGAAAACAAAATAAGATAGAAGAGATTGTAAGATACAAATCAAGATTTTTAACATAAGATTTTTTGTAAAGAATCGACATTGACTATGAGGAGACATATTCTCCTATAATTGATGCAATTATATTTTGTTATCTCATTAGCCTAGCAAAATATATGAAAAACATTCATATGCATGCATTTAATGAATGTGATCATAATTTATTTATTCATTTGAAATGATATCATTATAAAAGTCCTAGAAGGACTTAACATGCCGAAGCATGTAATACATAATCTCGATAAAAGAATTCAATTAAATTATAGAGAATTCAATTAAATTATAAAGATCTCTATTATGATTATTTTAGTTTTTAAAAAATTCAATTTATATTATACTTTTTTATATTTTATTTTTATATTTATTTTTTATTACTAACCCCGTGTGCATATGACATAATCATTTCAATATTTATTGAAAGAAAGTTATAAAAAAATAACCCTGTTTGTTCATATATTTTTATTTGAAAAGAGATTTGTTGTATATGTTGATGACTTAAATATTATTGGAACTCCCGAAGAGATTCCAAGTGTTATAAGTTACCTAAAAAAAAAAGAGAATTTGATGTGAATGCCTTCGGAAAATAAAATGTTATCTCGACTTACAGTTTGAGCACTTAGAAAACGACATTTTTATTCATAAGTCAATTTATATAGAAAAAGTTCTACAATGATTCTATATAAAGATCATTCATTAACTAGCCTAATGGTAGTTCATTCACTTGATATTCAAAAAGACCCCTTTTGACCTTGAGAAGATAACGAAGAACTACTTGGTCCTAAAATACCATATCTTAGTGTCACAAATGCATTGATATATCTTGCTAATAATACTCGACCAAATATAGTCTTTTCTATAAATTTATTAACAATTCATAGTTTTGTTTTAATATGGAGACATTAAAATAAAGTTAAGCATATACTACGTTATCTTCGATGAATAATTGATATGGACTCATATTACTCCAATAAATCAAAGACAAGATTAATTGGTTATGCGGATACGGAGTTATTTATCTTATCCACAAAAGGCTCAATCACAACTAGTTATATATTTACATATGGAGATATAGATATATCTTGACGTTCTATAAAGCAAGCTATAACTACCACATCTTCAAATCATGCGGACATATCAATTCACGAGGCAAATCGAGAATATGTTTGGTTAAGATCAACGATCCATCTTATCCGAGAGACATGCGGTTTATCTATCGGTAAAAAAAGTTTTAATAATATCGTATGAGGATAATGCTGCTTGCGTAATTCTATTGAAGGAAAAATACATCAAAGTGATAATCCAATAGATTTATTCGCTAAAGCATTACCTATCACAACTTTTGAGAAGATGATTCACAAGTTTAAAATACATCGTCTTAGAGATCTCAAATGATGTTTTTAACTAGGGAGGCCAACATTGAGATTAATGTGTACAAGGAATATTGTATTCTTTTTCCTTTACTAGGATTTTTTTCCCACTAGGTTTTTTCCTAGTAAGGTTTTAATGAGACATGTTCATTGTACAATGGACATTCAAGGAGGAGGGTTATGAAATAATGAATGTCCATCATCATGTTTATCTACTTTTCATCTCCCCACTACTTTTGATTCTTAATATGATTCAATTCATTATTCAATATGAGAAATTGAAAGGATGATGCAATTGATTATTCATAGTTCTTTTCAATTCTGTTCTCAAAATTGAAGCCTATAAATGGACTCGATTGTTCATTAGTTGATGTACAAGCATTTTGTAGAGATTGTGAGAATTGTTTAGAGTTGTTATCTCTTATATTCTCTTTATAGTGAAATTATTTTTTTTATCATTTTTCTCTTCAATTCTCCTATTATTTCTATTTCTTTTATAACAATTAACATTTTATTCTCTATGTCTTTTTTTTTCATCTTTTGGACAAATGTACCATCGGACAAAAAAAAAAACATAATTTCAAGATGAAAAAAATAATAAAGAATAATTGAAAAAACCTAAATATTTAAAATTATTGAAACATTAAAAAAATGAAATAGCCATAAAAAAATTTTAAAAAAATTGAAAACTAATGAAAATCTTGGAAAACCCCACATCATGGAAAAAATTATTTGATTGACATAAACAAATTTATATTTACAATGCTTTATGCATATAATTTTTATTTTTATTTTTAGATTTTTCAAAGGTATTTTTTTATTTTTTCTAGTTTTATTAAATGTTTTTGGTAATTCTCTCATTTCTATTATCTAAAGTGACAATTCACCTATCACTTGTTACCAAAAAATTGACTAGAATCCTATTGAGCTTGAATAATTCTATTGAAGGAAAAATACATCAAAATGACAATCTAGCAGATTTATTCGCTAAAGCATTACCTACCACAACTTTTGAGAATATGATTCACAAGATTGAAATACATCGTTTTAGAGATCTCAAATGATGTTTCGAACAAGGAGAGGCCAACATTGAGATTAATGTGTACAAAGAATATTGTACTTTTTTTCTTTCACTATGATTTTTTTCCCACTAGGTTTTTTCTAGTAAAGTTTTAACAAGGCATGCTCCTTGTACAATGAACATTAAAAGGGGAGTTTTATGAAATAATGAATGTCCATCATCATATTCATCTACTTTTCATCTCTCCACTATTCTTGATTCTTAATATAATTCAATTCATCATTCAATATGAGAAATTGAAAGGGTGATATAATTGATTATTCATAGTCCTTTTTAATTCTCTTTTCAAATTTGAAGTCTATAAATGGGCTCGATTGTTTATTAGTTGGTGTACAAGCATTTTGTAGAGATTGTGAGAATTGTTTAGAGTTGCTATCTCTTATATTCTCTTTATAGTGAAATTATTTTTTCATCATTTTTCTCTTCAATTCTCCTATTATTTCTATTTCTTTTATAACAATTAACATTTTATTCTCTATGTCTTTTTTCTTTTCTTTTTTCATCTTTTGGACAAATGTTCCATCGGACCAAAAAAATATATATATATAATTTCAAGACGTAAAAAATAATAAAGAATAATTTCAAAACCTAGATATTTAAAATTATTGAAACATTAAAAAAATGAAATAGCCATAAAAATATTTTAAAAAAATTGAAAACTAATGAAAATCTTGAAAAACCCCACATCATGGAAAAAATTATTTCATTGACATAAACAAATTTATATTTACAATGCTTTATGTATATAATTTTTACTTTTTTTTTTTAGATTTTTCAAAGTTATTTTTATTTTTTCTAGTTTTGTTAAATGTTTTTGGTAATTCTCTCATCACCATTATCTAAAGTGACAATTCACCTATCACTTGTTACCAAAACATTGACTGGAATCCTATTGTATGAACCAAATTAAGAAAATATTAAGAATGCATAGATAAAATATGCAATTAAGCCATTAACAATTTATTCTCTATGTCTTTTTTTTTCTCATCTTTTGGACAAAAGTACTATCGGACCAAAAAAAAAAACATAATTTCAAAACGTAACAAATAATAAGGAATAATTTCAAAAACCTAGATATTTAAAATTATTGAAATATTAAAAAAATGAAATAGCCATGAAAATATTAAAAAAAATTGAAAACTGATGAAAATCTTGAAAAATCCCACATCGTGGAAAAAATTATTTCGTTGACATAAACAAATTTATATTTACAATGCTTTATGTATATAATTTTTATTTTTTTTATATTTTTCAAAGTTATTTATATTTTTTTTAGTTTTATTTAATGTTTTTGGTAATTCTCTCATCACTATTATCTAAAGTGACAATTCACCTATCACTTGTTACCAAAAAATTGTATGGAATCCTATTGTATGAACCACATTAAGAAAATATTAAGAATGCATAGATAAAATATGCAATTAAGCCATTAACATTTTATTCTCTATGTCTTTTTTTTCATCTTTTGGACAAAAGTACCCATCATACCAAAAAAAAAAAATAATAATAATAATTTCAAAACGTAAAAAATAATAAAGAATAATTTCAAAAAAAAACCTAGATATTTAAAATTATTGAAACATTAAAAAAATGAAATAGTCATTAAAAAAATATTAAAAAAAAACATTGAAAAACTAATGAAAATCTTGAAAAACCTCACATCGTGGGAAAAATTATTTCATTGACATAAACAAATTTATATTTACAATGCTTTATGTATATAATTTTTATTTTTTTAGATTTTTCAAAGTTATTTTTATTTTTTCTAGTTTTATTAAATGTTTTTGGTAATTCTCTCATCACCTTTTAAGTTTTTTTTAAAAAAATTTAAATTAATTTTTTATTTTCTTAATTTTTAAAAATTATTTTTTCTTTTGGTGATTGTAGGGACTTTTTAGTCCAGAAAATAACAAAATGATATGTGAGAGAAAATATAAATATTTAAAGGCATATACATAGATGGATCAATTAATCGGTATATATGCGTAGCCACTGTTTTAGCTACCCTTTCGACCAAAAGTTCGATGCCCAAACAATTTTACACGTGGGTCAAATTATCGACAAAATCGGTCTACAAGCCAAGACCCAACGAATAATCTAATAGTAGTAACTCTAAAGTATAAGCTGGTTTCTACAATCAATCCTCCGAAAACAGGCTCCAGGAGACCGTCTCTTGTACTTATCAAAGAATTAGACAATGGCTTCTCGTAGCTTAGAAGGTAACTCCAGGCCAGGGTCATATGCATTAGGCAGGGCAAAGTATGCGTCCACCATGTCTTCCGAGACTTGCTCCAAACAAGGAGGATCCCACTGCATGTGTATAAATTAAAAATTTTAGACCAAGGCTAATCGGTTTAGTTCATCATAAATTCTCAATCCAAGGATAAAGAAATACCTTCGGTGGAAAGCATTTATCGACTAATCTTGCTCGAACTCCCTAATTAAGCGTGCATGGTTCGGATGAAATACATTAATTTATTATATGAAACTCAAGGATGAGTGGGCTATTGAAAAAAGAATCTCAATTACATATACCTCGCAGAAGTCAGTGGAGATTTGTCTAGAAATTGCTTGAAGTGTCATTCGGTATTCACGGTCAAGACATTGCTCAAGTGTCTGAAATCTACCTTTTCGTATCTATCATTGTAGAGAAGCCAAGCTATTAGGGCACACGAGGAATACAAGTGTAGTAGATTAACGATACATAAGGGGGAAAAAAAAAGTGGGGGACAGAACTTACAGATCTCAGGGAAACCTTCAAGCTCAAAGGCGGAGCTTCTCTTAGTTTTCCTAGCGTTGAAAAGCACCACTCATCTTTTGTTCTAGCTGCCTCACTTTCCTGAGAGTTTGTTGAAATGCAATCATTATTCTAACACAGTGAAGTAGAGATTAAGTAACACCATCACAGCCCTTTGTACTTTGAGAGGTGAATTTGAACACAAACGCCAACTACATTTAATTTCCAAGTTCCGTTCCAGCACATAAGTAAAACGTGCACAAAGAAAACTGAAAATTGGTGGCCATTATCTCACCTTTTTGAAGTTAAGGTAATTACAAACAGCTCTTCAATTGGTGGTCCAAGTATGTTCTTACCCCTTAATCTTTTCGGTCCAAAAAGTAAAAACACCGTGCATATTAGCACTTAGCAGTTAAAGAGTGATTTGCTTAGCCATCTTGTTTAATTTATGAAAGAGAATAATTTCTCTGTAAATACAGCAAAAATGGCCAAGTGCAATCAACAATTCAATCACGAAGATTGGCTATCAATATTTGTGACAGCTTTTTGCCTACTAGCAAATGGCAAACTACATGAACAATCAACTTAGCTTTTCATGTGGATAGTCCAAAGAATGGTTATGAAAATTAGCCTTGTCAGTAATTAATTATAATATAATGACTGAATATTTATTTGATCTTATTATTAAAGAGCAAATTATGAGCAAGAGAACGGTTAGTACATATTCATGAACTGTCACTCTTTCCCCAGTTTGAAGCTGCAGCAACCTGGGTTTGCATTAATGTAGCACGTATTCGAAATTTTGTCTTTGAGAAAAGAAATCTTACCAGAGTATTAATAATTTCCTCAACTGTGGCATGACCAAAACATTTATTCAGCATACTCATCCTGAAAATAACAGACAAAAAGTAAAATCGGACCATAAACACCGTCCTAAAAAATCAAAATCAAAATGTGAAACCTCAAGCAAGTAGACTTTGAAGGACGAATACAAATATAATTGCAGTTCTATACAAAAAAGACATGCATCCCTAAACCTCGCCTGATACAAGTTCAGACTGACAATAGCTATTTTATATTATGAATTTGATGGTGAGGATGAGCATGCATAATCAAAGCTTGGCTGCAGCAGCTATTTGCATACAGGCCAGAATTCTGAACTCATCCTCATTTTTTTCTTTTCTTTTTTGTGTGCGTTCGTGTGTGTCGGGAGACGTGTCGGACAAAAACTACCCACCTAGACTTCTGCACTTCAGTTCTTATTAGACCACTCAGCCAATCTGAAAATTTACGGGCATATTAACTCTATTCAGTTAGTTGCCAATTTTAAGTAATTGAGATATCATATTGATCCTGTGCATATACTTGCAATCGTCCTTACTATCAAAAGATGGTGTAAGAATATGATATGATTTACTGCATTTAGAAGAAGCTCAGGTCTTATATGAAGCATTGGTCATGTATCTCAATGTGTAAAGGAAATAGAAGAATCCCTCCTTGTAACATAATGAATGTAATACCAGTTCTTTTATTTTTCCGTCTTTGTATCTAACTGATGGATTGCATTAGGAGTACTCCAATCCTAAATTCCTCTATCTTTAGGTGTGAGTAAAACTCGATCTCAAAGTCTGTACAAACAATGGTAAATGACTTCGTCAGTTAAGTTGAACAACTCCCACTGTTTTGTATCTGATTTTCATGATCATAGACATGCATGCAAACTTTTTCTGTAACATTTCCAATGAATTTCTGGGTAAGCCAACTCTTTGCTGCTCCTCAATTTTCTTATGATCAATATTTGTTCTTCACTTCTTCTGGAAGCCTATGAAATGCATAAAATAGAAAAATTTATGGCCCTAATGGCATATAAAACCAGGGGACAACAATGTATATTGAAATGCAGCGAAGGTTCGTGCTACATTTCCAATTAAAAAGTCATGCAGTCAGCAGCATAAGGTTAGAAATCAAAAGCAATTGTAGTGTCCTCAAAGCCTATAGATACATGTATGTACTCTATGGTATCGGTTTACCTGTGAAGAACACTTCTTTCGCTCAAATTTGCAGTCTGACCAAATCTAGCTAGAAAAGTGTCCATGACAGAAAAATCTTTTGTAGCTAATTTACCAAGTTGCTCTTCAATGAGAAGGACACTCTGTTAAGAAGAGGAAGAGTTGATATCATTCGACTAAAATAGATAGAAGAAACCTATATTAAGAAAAGCATTGAAGAAGAACAAACTGCATTGGGGGAATAGTGGGTAGCTAGCCCGCAAGCAAGCATTTCTTCTCCACTAAGCGTATCACAAGTTAAACCTAGATATTCCCCTGCAGCAATCCCCCATATAAAGGGGTCAACAGCACATTTTTAAGCATCAGCAAACAGCATGAAGAAATTTAGCATGAAAACATGGCAACCATCTAATTTGGACAGTGAATGCTAAGGAAAGGAAATACGTGAAAAACCACAAATCTAACTAAAAAGCCTGCAAAATAATGCAGCGTATGATGATTCGTGCTATGTGAGTTAATTGGTACGCATGAAAGAAGCAAATCTCACATCAGTCTCGTAATATTTGATATAGAGCATGGAGTGAGGCAAAGCCAAGAATAGCGATGATGTTTCCCAAGGAAAAAGACGGGTAACAATAGAATGGCAGAAGCAACTAAAGGACTTGCCTAAGTATCCAGGTAGGCGTGAAAGATAATAGGAAGCACCAGCATCAGGATGGAGGCCAATAAGAACTTCGGGAGTAGCAAAAACCTGCGGTTTTTTCTGAGAATGTGAGATCAACATAGGAAAACTTTACTCGGTTTGAAGAACTAAAGTCCTTTGAATCGAACCGAACTGAAATGCTGAAGGACATAAATCATCTAAAGGCTCAACATATAGACATGACTATCAGACGACATATCACACCCTGTAATTTTTGCCAGCTAATGATATTCAAACTATGTATATGGCATTCTATGTATACACTAGAGTGGAAAAAGGAAAAGAAATTTGATTGGATCATACCATATACGTAACAAGAATTGCAAGTTCGAAACTGTATATAATTTATACTTCCTCGGACAAAAGCAAAAAAATAAAAAATAAACAGGATAACACGAAAGGGAAAGGCAATATACACTATAGAAGATTCAGTGAGACATTACAGTTTTATCAGTTGCAATCCGAAACGAACCATGGATTGAAACCCCAGCTCCTCCACCCATTGTTATGCCATCCAATATAGCAACCTACATATATTTAGACACCGATTTAGAGCAAAGGAAAATTCAGTTGTCAAACCCAAAACAACCTGTCGTTAATAAAAACCGAAGACATTTCATGCTGAATTGCTGTGACATGTCTTCTGGAATTAAAAACCCTCCAAGCTTTCTCTCATTTCTGCGCCTCTGTTTCTTACTATCTCCATCACCGACATTCTCTTACTAACAAGCCACACCCTCCACTAGACATGCAGTAGAAAACACAGAAGGAAAAAAACACACACACACACAACAGAACTTATTAATACTAGCATTTGTACATAACACATTTAATGGTTGCATTTCAAGCGAAAGGCATCGATTCCCAATAGAGAACAAGCAACTTAAAACTCTACCACCACTGTTGACACCACTTCTGTTTTTCTATCACAAGCAAGTTACAGGCCTATCTTTCTCCTGCAAAATTTTCGCAGACGATACAAGTTTATGCTTTGAATTTACCCAGTCCCATCAATGTGGGAGTATGTCCTTAAAATCGTAGAATAAAAGATCTAGTTTTGACATACAAATTGTTTCAAGAATATTCTTGACCGTCCAATAAAAAATATAGGAGTTCTAAATTTTTTCATTCAATTTTACTTATTAAATGACATACCATCTATTACAAACAAAGAATTTCAAATAGCGGACTGTAAATCTTATTACTTGTACTGGAATAATAATAATAATAATAATAATAATAATAATAATCTAATTGAGTGATTGATAAAACACTAATGCATGTCCGGTCATTAAAAAAAAATCAAATATCTCTATCATTATACAAAATATATATACATATACACACACACTACTTCACAGTTCAACTTTCCTATTTAAAAGAAAACATAAATGGGTAAATTTCACTCCCCTTAGCTTCCCACTTATGTTAATCAGGTCCTGTTTCATAATTGACAAAAAAAAAAAAAATGTTAAAAATAACCTTCCCACTCACTTAACTACATATCAAGCTTTGTATTGATGAAATTTGTCACGAGTTTTCCTTCTTCTTCTTATTCTTTTTTAAGTAAATCATTAATTAATTCTTCTTATTTCAAAAACTAATTATTTAATTCTTATACTTTAAAATTTTTTTGTAACTTAATCACTTTTGTTTTTCTTTTCAATTTTTTTTCTTAAGAAATAAAAAAAAAGAAAAAATATGGAAGGAATTTGATGAGTAATGATGATATTTTTTGAAATAAAATAATATTAAATTAAATATAGTTAATATTGGCGAAATGACTAATAATTAATTTTAAAAAAAACTAATTATTTCATTTCTAAAAAAATAGAAGGACTAATTGAAAAGGGATTTCCTACCCGAGTTAAAGACTCGTGATTCAATCCCTTGTAAAATTTTCACAAGATCTATTATAATTTACTCTTTGTTTGCGTGAATCGTAATTTTTTTTTTTTTTTGATAGCTTAGCAATTAACATCATACAAAGTAAACAACAAATTAATCTCTTCATTTTTTAGAAACAAATTAATTAGTTATTTTTATTTTAAAAACTAATTATTTAATGTTTTTTGCCCATCTTATGTTCTTTTCTTGTTTGCTAAAAAAGAATATAGAAAAAATAGATATTATAAAAAAATGAATAAGAAAAAAGATTTTTTTTTTAAGAATAAATTAAGGGTGATCAACAATGATCAATTGACTAAATAATTAGTTTTTTTTTAAAAAAAGACTAATTAATTTGTTTTTCAAAATTAAAGAGACTAATTTATAATTTACACCATTACACTTGGTGATCTTGTTTGTTTTGTTTTATTTTTCTCTCTCAAGTAGTTATAAACCAGCGGTTAATATTAGCAAGCAGTTATACAACCAGGGGTTAATGTTGGTAATTGGTGATGCAAAAAAGTCATGTTATCACGATATGGAACTAAATCAATCATCACGGTAAAGTTGAAGGATTGCTATAACCTTATCTTGAAAGGAGGTATTTTTAAATTCAAACCCTCCAAAAGAAAAGCTTGAGCCTAGGACCTTCTTGCAAGCAAATGTAAGGAGCTCAACATCCTTAAACCGAAATCCTATAAATAATACTGAGTGAACTTGTAGATTAAGCTAATTAACACGCACTAATTGTTGAAAGTAGGAAATTGAGGAAGTAAGTAGCACTGACTGGTTTTGTAGTGAATAAGAAGACGAGTATGTGCCCAATAAATAAATAAATAAATAAATAATCGGTTAAAAAGGAATTAGCAGGTTAAACTTTTTCAGCGTGGTATTAGTCGGCTTTTCGTTCTACCCTAGAAGTCAAACTAAAGATTTCTATTTTAGTTCGATAATATATATAATATAATATTATCGATCAACTAAAATATATTAAATTAAAAATAAAAGATAAAATTTTATAATTTTTCATCAAATTTTTATATATAATTTTTTATATATTTTTAATAAATTTTATAATTAAAAAAACACGATTTGTTCTTATGCATTTTTCTTAACTAAAAACACATAGTAATCTAAATGTAAAATTTTTTAAAATATCCTAATAATTTTTTCATATCATTGCATCAAAGAAATTGAGCAATAATTAATATAAAAATTTGTATAAAAAATAACATAATCTTTTTTATTCTTATTTAATATTGACGATAAGATTAATTTTTTGAAAATATGTACATTTGATTTATAATATTTATGCAGAAAATAATGAATAATATTAGTATAAAAAGTTGTATTTGAATTATTAGACGGTTCTTCTAAAATATTATTTTAATTTATTTATTTGAAAGAGTTTAATTTTAAAATATTTTAAAAAATAATAGCATATGGTTGGTGTTATGTCTATAGATGTATAGTTAATTTTTAATAAAATAAATTATCCTAATTTTTTTATACATCATCATTATAATTAGTTGGTCGAGTGTATAGTATAAACTGAAAACTATTTAAGAAAAAAATTAAGTTGTAAAAAATAAATTAAAATTAATGGAGTACAACAAAAATAACTACAAAATTAATTTTGATAAAATTTAATTATATAAAAAATAAGAAAAATAAAATTGGTGAATTCTATTTTTAAAATTTGATTACATAAAGAATAAGTCAATAACAACAACTAAAAAAACTTATTTAAAAATCCATACATAGAGAAAATAAATCATATTTGTTAACAAATAAAATTGTATAAAAAATATTTAAATTTTTTTAAAAAAAATTGCAATATTTGTCAAAACTTGCATATTAACTACTGCAACATATGCCTAAACTTACAAAAACACCATATCAAATGCCTAAATAAAACTTAAAAACCACAATAACGTTGTTTCATACACCATATCAAATGCTTAAACAAAGCTTAAAAATTATAACAATGCCATTTAATACAATAATAATAATAATAATGAATATTGTTAATAAGTATAAATGAATAGTAAAATAAGTATGGATGAATAGTAATTACTACAAATCTTAAGGTTTTTTTTATAATTATAATAAGTATGGATGAATAGTAATCACCCCAACATTTTTAGGTTTTCTTATGATATTGAAGGGGCAGCCCATGCTAGCAGTATTAGGTCAGGCTTGTTTAGAATTGTGAACCGCTCAACTATTTTAATTAATTTTTTATAAGAATTATTTTCTTAAAAAAAAAAAATCTGATAAACTAAGATGAACTCGTTGTTTAGGATAATGTTATTTCCAACCTATCAATTGTTATTTTATTCCACTAAATTTTTTAATAACATGTCATTTTTTGTGTTTCTAGATTATTGAAAATTCACTGTCTATAGATTCCGAATTGACAATTTGACTATAAAACAAGAAGAAACTCTGGTAACATTAGTTTTCGGTTTGTCTTCTGTTGATCGAGATTTGTTCCGATCTCAGATTCCAAATCGTACTTTTTAGCTAAACTTGTACACTTCCATCGGACTAGCCTTTGTATTTCATAAGTAAAACGAAATGTAATTGCAGTCTCATATTTCATAGGCATCCGCAAGCAATAACACTTAAGGAACATGATTCCAGCAAAGCACAAAGGATGGTGAAATAGGGAGGGCAATGGACAATGGATGCTTCTTAAGCAAGTCCAATAGGTATTTAGACATATATAGGTTAGAAACTGCATAATGATTGTGTAAAAATACTCACTTCATATCTTTCTCATGCTCATTAAATACCAATTGAAACTAGTAACATTGAAAAAAAAAATCTGTTAACATGCTGGGGTTTAATTTAAACAAATAACCCAAGGACTAAAATGTGTTTGTAAAAATATACAAAAACCAAAAAACTTACAACCAAGGACTTATTTGTCAAAAATATTATATATAAGGACCAAAATAACTCTTTAAAAAATTATTAAAAAAACTAAAATAGAATGTTGTTTTATTATTCATTTGCAATATTTCAAAAACTATTCCTACTCATTTTTACTATTTACAAATTATTATTTTCAATATGTAGTGATATTTTTATACTTTTTAAACTTTCTAAAGAAACTTTCTAAAGATTATTATTACGAAAGTTTTTATATCATTACATTTTGATTTTTTAAAAAAAACATTATTTTTTTCGTTCAGTAAATTTTTTTTGTTTCATTTTAGTTCTTATTTTATTTTATTTCGATCACTTTGGTTATTTTTTCTTTGATTTTTTTAAATTAAAAATTTTAAGGCAAAAAGACTTTAAAAAAATTATAAAATAAGTTTTTAGTTAAAAATTCATTGATTTTGACATTTTTTTTCTCATATATTATTATAAATTTTTTAGTTAAGAACGTAAACATAGAAAAATAAATAATTTTTTTAATAAAAAAATATGAAAAATATAAATAATAATCACTCAAATACAAAATTTTGATTAAAAAATTAAAAAATTGAATAATTTTTTTATTTAGTTTTGATTTGATATATTTTTGGAGACGTATAATACAGAGAATAGAATTGAAATAATTTTTTAAAAATAATTTTATGTGCTTTTTTGGATTAGAAATTAAAATAAAACATCAAGTGAGAAACTATTTTGAAATGGGCAGGCACCATGTAATTTTGGTTGTCTGTTCGGGGATAAGTTCTCAACGAATATTGGGCGCAGAGGGGGCAACATGATTTTAACGAGTAGGGCACTGGGTTTGGTTAATGGCCTGGGAATCCTATCAGTTGCCATCCTTGACAGGTGGGGAAAAAAAGTACATTAATT